CCCGAAACAAACTCATGTGTCGATGCGGTGGGCTTTGACCGTGGTTGGCCAGAACTTCCGACTGCGTGACTTTGAAAAAGCCTAATCTCACAAGAAAAGCTGAGACCAGAACACTCTAAGTCTAACCTTCGCGCTGGAAACCTGAGAGACTCTCACCGTCAAGGCCATGCGCGACAATAGGATGATGCGTCATTGGGCCAAGCCTTTCACCGCTGGGCCGTTCAGCGATCTGCTCGTTTTATGCCATGGGAATTCGAAGACTTTGGGTCTCAAGGGCTTAGGGGAGTAGGGTTTAGGATTTAGGGCTTAGGGTTTAGGGTTTAGGGCTTTAGGGTTTAGGGCTTAGGGGTTTAGGGTTTGGTGATTGTTGTCTCGGTGTTGGGTCTGGGCTTCATCCTGTTGCACAGGTTTCATTTTCAAGATTTAGGACTGTGGGGTTGTGGGCTATACGGCAGTACCATCAGGGCCCTAACCTCGGACGGAGAAGTCCCAGCCTTATGTAGCCATAAGGCAACTGTCAAGGGAGACTATTGACAATGTTCCGACCTCTACATTGGTCAATTGCCCGGACAGCCCCTGACATCTCAGGGCTTAGAGTTTACGGCAGTGCTGACACAGGTTGCCTTTACCAAAACCCCTACACCGCAAGAACCTACAAATTGAAATTCTACAAGTACACCCGGAGCATAGCTTCTGGAACTTGGAGGGTTACGGTGTAGGGTTGAGGGTTGCTGAACAGCCCGGGTGCTGTACAAGGCATCAGCGCAGTGACGTTGGTTGCCAAAAGCTGGGCCGCCAGACCAGTCGGAAGCACCGAGGTTGCAAGCAAGGGCTTCATAAGTGCTATGTTCATTGGTCTCGGTTTAAACTACTTTCATGGACATATTCAACGCATGTGCTTTCCTTACGATAGTGGCCTACAGTAAGCTTGCGAACTAGAACCCGGCAATTCGAATGCCGGCATTCTTGGGAGAAGGCAAAGTAACAAAGATGCAAATGGTCAGTCACCTGCCGCATTTACGTTTCAGGACCAGGCATTCAGGCTGCAGGAAATATTAGGTTCCCGGCTGAAGTCAGCACTTACCATTCGACGCTTAGGCATCGTAGAAAAGTCAGTTGCTCCGTTGCAGGTCAGCCAGCATGCCAGCTGCTAAGTTCGTCGGTGAGCCAGTGAGTCAGCAAGCACGTCGATGCAATCACGCAGAGTCGTGTACAATGTCATACGGTCCTTGTAGAATCTTTCATTGGTTATGACCACGATAATAGACTCCAGCAGCTACAGCTTGCCACATACTAGCTACCATGCTTCACCAGGTTAAACTAGGATATACTGATTTCTACAACGAGATGTCGCAACATATCACTTTAGTTCACAAGACACCTAGCAGAACAACCAGAAATCTTTGGTGATACCTGTAAAGAGCAGCCTGTCTGTCATACATGCCACTATGTGACAGCGCGAGTGTATGTTGCTTCATGTGGGTGACTGTCAAAATCACGGTCCCTTTTCAGAACCCAATATAATTCTACTCAAATACCGTACCCTGCAGTTTGGGAACCCAAAGCGTCCCAGGCATATAAGATAACACCATCAACTTTATTGTACCGCAATACATGCTATGCAATCACCAAGGACCACGACACGCAGCAGTCTACCATAGCAGATGAGGTTGCCCACAGTAACTACAATAAACATGGTAAATATTCTTCAGGTACACCCCAATGTACTGGGATGGACTGACACTGTACATCAAATCTCCCATCCAACCCCACCTAGGAGCCCCACGGCCCCAACCCTTGAAACCCTGAATCGTCATCAATACAGCCGGAGCTTAAAGCCGAAAGCTGCTGTCCCGGAACCTTTGACTTGAGCCCCATCCCCACAGCAGAAGCAGCGCCTGAGACTGACTGCACAAGGCTTCGAACCTTGACTAGACGTCACTTTGATTGAAAGAGGAAGCTTCTACACACGGAGTGGCCGTCATTCATCGGCCTTCAAAGCCTATACGCCCGGGATTTCGGGATATGAGACGACGGAAGTTAAAGATCCAGTCTCAAGGAGGATTGAAAGGAGGGCCTGGGATTGAGTACACCACCTCAGATCGCAGTTTGGGTATGCAGTCTCCAACGCCTACGGGTTGCAGTTCAAGTTCAGGGACTAAAGTTCTCCAAGCTCTGGCCCCGAAACCCCCAGCCACGACAGAAATGCCTTCGCAAGAAGCCCTCTGCTCCTCAGTAAAGATCTGTCGCAAACTCTTTAGGCACCCCTTCAGACGTTCATGCACGTTGCTCCAGGCGCAGACAAGATCAGAATGCCATGACGATGAAGTATGACTACTGTGGCGATTGTCAGCAGGCGGTCGCGACAACAACGACGACGACAGCGGCGATGGCAGTGCTACTGCAGCACCCCGCTGCTGCTGCTGATGCTCCTGATGCTACTGATGCTGCTGCTGCTGCTGCTGCTGCTAATGCTGCTGCAAGACCACCGCCGCTGCTG